ATACACTTTTGTTTTCTTTTGTGGAGGTTGGCTTTGAGTCCACTTTGGGGGAGAAAATTTCCAAGTCATACAGAGCAGAAGTCGACTGTAGCTAATTTGTCATTATTGTAAGTCTAGTAACACTTACCTGCAGTGACTTTTGTTACCAATCCACAGCAGCTGACAGCCCCAGTAACCCACCTGGCAGCTATCTTGCTACAGTGATTGTTGTGGGTTACTTACCTGTAGGAAGCTTAATCACAGCCAGTGCACAAAGATATCAGAAACAAATCCTCTATAAAATGCAATAAAATAGCACATTATCACATTGTTGCTCAAATGTCTGTTGGTTTTGACAGTGTTTGAGCAATCTATTTTAGTAAATTTATATAATGGACCAATTTACTTGCTGATCATTGCAAGATTAACCCCCATGAACACACACAGACACACACATATACAGCTTTGCAGTATTGTTCTTCAAATCAATTTGCCAGAAATTAATGTATGTTATTTTCTATGGTTATCTATCAGCTTTTTCCAAAGATCTTATATAAGTTAGTTCTGTGATGGAATATCACAAACATTTTGTAGGCGACAACATTGATTATATACATTTAGAGATTGGGAGAGTGGGCGTTGTTTAAATTTTTTGTGTACTTTACAAAGGTTAGTATGTATTGATAAAAATAGTTCATTTACTGTACAGTTGTTTCATTCTCTACCCTGAGCATTCATGCAAAGATTCAGGGTAGATGCTTCCTCCAATGATTTTAGAAAAGGGAACAAATTCTGCCCTTAGTTTTTATTAACTTCAGTGCAGCCTTGCCAGTGGCAGTGCAGTAATCTGAACCAGGCAGCACTTTTGTCTCTGAAGGTGCCTATCACCTCCTCCTCAGCTATTTTTTTTCATCCTAATAATGTAGGCAACAACATCTGGCACAGCAGGGTAAAGGCCTCCACCCAAGCCATCCTTGCTGACAGTTAAGTTTCTTTGCTGGTGATGAACTATCTATCAGCACGCCCCAAAAAAGCAGTTTCAATATTGCTGGTCTGTCTGGAGAATGACTGAACCACTAAAATTGGGCATTCAATGGAGCAGGGATTGCACCATTGAAGAGATCTGTTTAAATTCCTCAAAAGCATAATTTCTTATGTTCTTTTACATGTCTAACAACGGCTACCACAGCAGACGTTCAATAGCTCCACTATCAACTTTCAACTATTGCCATTCTACAACACACTATCTTTTCTGGCCTGAAGTTGAATTTTCACATCTCAAAAGCAACTTCCTGGACATTTGTTTTCTTCTTTAATTCAAAGTATTATGTTTCCCTCAACATCTCACAGCTCTTTATAAAGCCCAAGTTTATCGAAGACTTCAATAATTTCCCGTATATATGAATTCTACATAGAAAACAAGAAATGTTTTTTTCATGTGATAAATAATCATTACTTCACCTCTCGTGTCATTCCGTCTCAGTCCATATAGTCTTTCTGTCTCTCCCTCACAATGAAAACTGTGAACTGGAAACAACTGAGAATGCCAGTTATATAAGTTTGTAGTTGTTTCTATGTTGCTGCCAGGTACTTTAGTATCTGCCCAGCAAAGTCAACAAGATGGATTCCAGACACCTGTAATCTCAGGCTATCTGAGAATCAGATCTATTGGAAATAGTTCTTAAGTAGTTTGCAACAACAACTTGCATTTGCATAGAGCGCTTCACACAGGGTATAATACTGGAACACTTCATGTGGATGGTGTCGAGCGCTGAGCAAGGGAGGTAAAGTTGAAAAGGTAGGCTTTTAGGCCTGATTTGAAGACAGAAAAAGAGGGTGAGATGGAGATGTTGAGAGAGAGATCTAGAGATTGGGGTGGTGCTGAATACTCGGTCACGGATGGTGGGACAGGGCAAGTGTTACAAGCCCTGTTTTTCAAGTGGAGGGAGCAAGCAGGAGAGTGGAATAGGAGAAGATCACAGAGATGGGGAGCTGCTAGGGCATGAAAAGATATATAAGTGAGGTGAGGACCTTGAATCTGATCCATTAGAAGTCATTGGAACTTGGTGAGGACAGGGCTGATGGGCATGCAAAGTTTGAGAATACCGGCAGCAGAGTTGTGAACTCCTACAGAAAACAACATTACAATTTCTACATGTCACGTGGTATTATAATAGTCATATTTTCACTTGATTTACCACTTTCACACATTGAAAAAAATCACAAACCTTCACAAAATAAGTTAAGTTTGAAATGTCAAAAAGCCTTGACCTGCTTTTCATTGAGCGGATGGGGCTCCCTCACCGCTCTGTATACCAGTTTTAAACCAACTCCTAGTACTTATCTTCAAATATTCCGATCCTCTTGCTATGTCAAACAGGACTTCAAGAGGAAGAACACGGCCTATCTTCTCAGCAATAAGAAAAAGCTTTAAAACTGCATTTACCAAATATTAATGGCCATAAAGATAATTTCTACGTAAAATGGCAAAATAAATAATAGTTTACATTTATATGATGAGTTTCACATCAGGGGGTTGTCTAAAAGCATTTAGTATTGTTCGCTGGGTACCCGAGCTGGGGTGGAATCTGAAGCACTTGGGGAGGGTGATGACCGAGAGATGACTGAAAGCATGGTCAAAGAGTATGATAAAAAATATTGAGGTGAAATATGTCATTAATTGTATGCAAATAAGAAACAAATATATTGCTGCTTAATAAAATTCCATAGAAGCTATTGATTTCCAAACCTGCAGTGTATATGTAATCCTTACTCAGAGAGGGAAATAGATGTATAAATACATAACAAAACAATGGCTAGTTTCAGTGATCAGTGAGCCGTGTCTTTTTTGCCCCAAAGGACTTTTTCTGGGTATAGTTATCCTGTGGCACCTTCCTCAAGGGTCTATCATATGTGATCCTAGATGGCCAAGCTCATCTGATGTTCACACAGGTGCTTTTCAGCCGTCATTGGATCGTGATCAAGATGTTCAGTTTGGTAACCTATATCTTCTCTGCCAAGAAGATTAGGAGCAGCAATCCTGTATCAATTACCTATCCAACCATTGTGGTACCCCAAATGCTACCTGGCTGAGATCAGCTAAGAGAACAGGAATTAATTTTACCTCAAATTGTCATTGATGTATCGTGTCCTTGGTTAATTTTTTGATTTCGGTTTTTGTTGAAGATTTTTACTCCAGCAAAAGGTCACAGCCTTTTTTTTGCTAATGCGCTTCAGTGCCCAATGAACCTTGTACCTCAACTGCCAAGAGGACAGGCAGGCAGTTTGTTTTCAGACTTCTGGCAATCCTTACTTTGCTAGCTGGTGGGAAGAACACCACTATTTGAGTTCCCCTCCCTCTCCGCAGCAACCTCTGCTCAACCAGAAAGAGTAGATTGGCGATCAAACGTTCCATCTGTGACACTGTGTTGTGCTTTAATGAACACAGCCTTACAATACATTTTACAATTATATAGTGGCTTTCACGTCAGGAGGACATCTCAAAGCTCCTGGTTCATTTCTGACTGAAAAAATCTGGGAAAAACACAAAACGTTTTTTTTGTTATTTCCAGATTGTGGTTTTCACCATGTCAAATGATCACAGGCAATTACGGACACAGAGAAGTTGTATGGTCAATAATGTACAAAATGGGAAATGACAGCAACTGAATAATAATAGCCTGTGCATTGCAGTCTGATGTAAGCATAATGAGGCTCGGAAATTCCACTGTGAATAGAACTGGTACTTTAGGTTGATTCATCTTTCTTGCAAAACTACTTATTTGATCAGGTGCAAATTAGAACTCTGTTCATTAAACATGCTTGTTGTTTGGCACATGATGGTAGCACTCGTCCGGGGAAGTGGCTGCCTACAACAGTAATTAAACATGTGTAACCAATTAGTGGGTTTTCTGTCACAGAACTAGCATGCAATTTGCTGAGCCTTTTCTGGAGCATAGATAAAAGGAGGTGTCTGAGTATACTCTCATAAAAATTACAGGTATTGAGCTGTCTGTTTCATTATTTGCCGAACAGCTAAATCTTTAAAGACATTCTTTTAGTACTTGTATGTGTATTCTTTGAGAGAAAAGTCACAACTATAAACAGAGTGCAGTACATATGTGCAATAGCTCAGTTGGACTACACAGGGAAATATGTTTGCTGTATAAAATAATTCTATTTCCCTTAGTCACAGCAGTGAAAGAGCCTGCATGCAGTTTTATATGATGCAAAAAAAAAAGTTGTGTTACATACTGTGTTCCTCAACTCGAACCTTCAATAGGTTGGAGCATTATTAATAACTATTAGTAATTATGACACAGCCTTTTTTCTTTTCACTGGCAGCACAGGAAATAATTTAGCTAAATCTTACTGAGTTCTAAGAGGTACTGTAACCTAGTTAATGCTTCAGGGGATATTGTTCTTCAGATTTCTGAAGGAGCTAAAGACATGGTCATTGATTTAAGACATTATATAGACTAGCATTAAATCTATAGTGTCTTGATGTTGTATAAAGATAATAAATCTGGTCAGTCGAAAACCACATTTGAGTAACAGAGGGCCAGTTTGTCCTGTCAGGTACTGATTTGAACCTGAAAGGTTACAGATTAGTTTAGTGATGTCAAGTGAACTGGCAAAGGCATCTCTAATTTTGCTGGAAATGAGGAAGCCTGATGGTAAAGGAGAATCCTAATGAGTCCATCAAAGGCTTGATTTGTATCCAACAGACAAGGCAGCTGTGAATGGTATGAAAATATTGGAAATCAATAGCTTCTATGGAATTTCATTAAGCAGCAGTATCCACAATTGATAGGACCTCATAATTTGATGGATTGTGCAAAGAAAATGATTAGCTAGGTAGAAAGAGTGATAGAATACACACAGAGGGACCTGAGATGTGTTGAAGTGGGGTAATTTGTACAAAATAAAAAATATTGATTTTAGTTATGTGCAAAAACTTAAAATTGGAAGGAGGGATAATCTTGCAAGTCATTGCTTGATGCGTCCTTTTGATTTCCTAGCAGCCCCAGGGGAAGGACCGGATGATGGTGATAGTGGGAATGAAAGCAGAAGTGGAAGTGAGGAAACCCACATCTGTGAGAAATGCTGTGCAGAATTCTTCAAGTGGCCTGACTTCCTGGAGCATCAGAAGAATTGCACTAAGAATCCACTAGTCTTAATTGTAAATGACGAAGAAGCAGCACCTTTGGAAGAATTCCCAGAAGCATCTCCTGCCAGCTGCCCAAGTGATCAAGTCGAGAGTGAGGCTGCTGAGGATAGTGCTCAGTTAGAGGGAAATGACAGCTCTGAGGTAAAGAGTGCAGAGCAAGACGAGCCTATGGAGGTAGATGCCACCACTGACAAAGGTTACCAGAATCAAGGTACCTCCAGCACTGCTACTTCGCTACCTCACATTCCTGAAGCATCTTCCATGACCAATTATACCATGCCAAACACTAATGTGACTTTAGAGACTTTGCAAAGCACTAAAGTGGCCGTGGCACAGTTCTCCCAGGACACAAGATCAAACTGTCCTAATTCAAACAGTGCGGTGTCCACAATGGCCATCCCTATGATTCTGGAGCAGTTGATGGCTCTGCAACAGCAGCAGCTCCACCAACTACAACTAATTGAACAAATCCGCAACCAAGTAGCATTGATGAACCCACAAACAATACACCCTTTAAATTCATCAGTACCAACACAAGGTGCTTCAGTGGCTGCTCCTAGCCAGCATGTTTCATTCAGTGATCATTCTTCTCACCAGTTGTCAACAGCTGCTTCAGCATCAGGAACAGGACAGGCATCCAGTATCCATTCTTCTTCTGCCTTTGACAGCTCACAACAAGTTGCACAGCCTGCCTCTGGGGCTAGCACTCCAGGTTTGCCCGGTAGTGTATCTCCCCGATTGGAATCAACCTTGCCCTCATCCGCTGGTGGAATTTCATCTTCTTTGACTCCAAATTCTGGTTCAAATACAAGTAATACTTTGCCTCAGTTACAGAGTTCAGCTTTATCACTTGGACACGGAAGCCTTCTCAGTCCCCTTCCAGCCTGTCTATTCCACTGCTACCTCAAAATTCAACAAGTAGTGTGATCTTCCCAAACCCGCTGGTCAGCATTGCAGCAACTGCCAATGCTCTAGATCCATTGGCTGCTCTTATGAAACATCGCAAAGGAAAACCACCCAATGTATCTGTGTTTGACCCCAAAATAAGTTCAGAAGATCCATTCTTCAAGCATAAATGCAGATTTTGTGCAAAGGTGTTTGGAAGTGATAGTGCATTACAGATCCACCTCCGTTCCCACACTGGAGAGAGGCCCTTCAAGTGTAATATTTGTGGGAATCGTTTTTCCACTAAGGGTAATCTTAAAGTTCATTTCCAGAGGCATAAAGAAAAGTATCCTCACATTCAAATGAATCCATATCCAGTCCCTGAATATCTTGATAACGTACCCACCAGCACTGGAATTCCATATGGGATGTCCTTACCACCAGAAAAACCAGTGACTACATGGTTGGACACCAAGCCTGTGCTGTCGACCTTGCCAACGTCAGTTGGATTACAGTTGCCTCCAACTCTATCAAGCATTTCCAGTCTTGGTGAATCGCCAAGTGTGACCCCTTTAAATAGGTCTCCCCAAAGGCCATCTCCTCCATCAAGTGAATGTGCTTCTTTGTCACCAAGCATGACCAAGACTGATTCCAACATTCCACTCACTGCAGAATCTCCACAGTCAATTAATGGTGGCAGTGTAGTTTCAAAAGTTCAAGTTTTAAGTGCACCCACTTCAAGTTTAAAACCAGTAGAAAGCAGTGCACCTGGGTCCTCAGCTCCTAGTTCCACTACATCGTCTGCTACAGCAGACAATGGAGTAAACAATATAGCTTCAACCCTTACAAGCCCTCTACTTCCAATAATATCCGAACACTTTCAAGCAAAATTTCCCTTTGGTGGTCTGTTAGACTCTATGCAAACATCTGAGACCTCAAAACTACAACAGTTGGTGGAGAACATTGATAAAAAGATGACCGATCCAAACCAATGCGTGATCTGTCACCGTGTACTGAGTTGTCAGAGTGCTCTGAAAATGCATTACCGAACACACACAGGTGAAAGGCCTTTTAAATGCAAAATCTGCGGACGAGCCTTCACCACAAAAGGCAACTTAAAGACACATTTTGGAGTTCATCGAGCAAAACCGCCTCTTCGAGTACAGCATTCCTGTCCCATCTGCCAGAAGAAATTTACAAATGCTGTAGTTTTACAACAGCATATCCGCATGCACATGGGAGGGCAAATCCCGAATACGCCTTTACCAGAGGGCTTCCCAGATAATATGGACACAGACCTTAGCTGTGATGACAATAATGCTGAGACAATGAGCAACTATCTTGATGATGACATGATGGATGAAAATTCAATGGAAGAGGAGGCAGAGTTAAACATTACCACATCTGAGTCTTCAAAGCCATTGTACTGCTACTCCCATTCATCACCAACTTCATCTCCTTCAGTGATTTCCAGCATTGCTGCACTGGAGAATCAGATGAAAATGATAGACTCTTCTTTAAGTGCTCAGCAGCGATCTTGTCTCAAATCTGTTGAAAATGGATCCATGGAAAGTGATCGTTTAACAAATGATTCCTCCTCAGCTGTGGGTGATTTGGAAAGTCAAAGTGCAGGTAGCCCTGCAATATCAGAGAGTTGTTCTTCAATGCAGGCTTTGTCACCCGTGCATAGCAATGCTGAGAGTCAAAGATCCAAGTCACCAGGCTTTGTCAATCAAGAAGAACCACATGAAGCATCAGTGAAATCAGAAAAAGCAGAAAGTCCACCATCTCTTCGGGAGAATGGAGGTGCACTAGATCTGACAGCCAACAACCTGGGGCGACCGATCATCAAAGAAGAGGCTTTTAGTATGCTGTTCCCCAACCAAGAATGTGGTAAGTTGAAAAGTACCGTTTGTAATATCTGTGGCAAACCTTTTGCTTGTAAAAGTGCATTGGAAATTCACTACCGCAGCCATACTAAAGAGCGTCCATTTCTTTGCACAATCTGCAATCGTGGTTGCTCCACTATGGGTAATTTAAAACAGCACTTACTGACTCACAAGATGAAAGAACTTCCTTCTCAGTTATTTGAACCCAACTCCACTCTAGGTCCCACCCAAAGTACTCCTAGCCTGATCACCACCACCGCACTCACCGTGGTCAAAATGGAAGTCAATGGTCACAGCAAGTCGATCTCCCTAGGTGATGGTACGCAGGTTCCAGTTGGTATACAGGCTTCAGCTGCACCACAGACAGCCATGAGTCCAGGTATGACACCCATTCTGGCGCCGCCACCTCGTCGAACACCCAAGCAGCATAACTGTCCATCCTGTGGGAAGGCCTTTTCTTCTGCAAGTGCTCTACAGATCCATGAGCGCACCCACTCTGGTGAAAAGCCCTTTGGCTGCACAATCTGTGGCAGAGCTTTTACAACAAAAGGGAATCTTAAGGTAAGAGTCTTTTAATGTATAAATTTGTGAGAAGAATTTGTAGGCTGCTGCTTTTTTATCCCTTACCCAGTGAAGCCAATCTAATCAGGATGATTAGCACAGCAAATTTAGTGCCTGGTGCTTTGGAAAACAGATCAATTCACACATAGCATTTATATTCATGTTAACTTTTAAATATAAGCTTAGTGCCACACAACATTTTTTATTTCCCTTCCGCACACAGTTCCCTGACTAAGAAATTGGCCAGATGATTTGCTCCTGGCTCTCTTGTCTGGTGAAGTACTTCACGAAAAAAAAAACTGTTTGGAATTAATTACCTTTATCCAAACTGGATAATAGTTTGGGAGGTCTATCATGGAAAAAGTGATCAAATATACATTTAAATGCCAATTGAGTTGCTGTAGCAAATATCATTTTAAGCCTCAAGAAAAAAGATTTAACCATTTAAAAACTGAAACACACTTAGAACTTTTGGGATTCACTCCCTTCCTTGCCTCCCTCCACTTATGTGTGTGCAGTGCTTGTCAGGTTAAACCAAGGCTACTATAAACCAGAGGTATATTCCAAAGGATCTAGAAAATGGTCTCCCACACATACAGTAAGTAGGTAATGCCCCCTTATCAGTTTCTAAAGAAATGGGGGAGGGTAATTCTCCTCTGTTTGCTCTGTGTAGTGAATTTACTTCAGTGAGCTAGCACTCTTCTCTGCTTAATAGGTTTGCGATATATTTAAGAAAGTTAAAATTATATTAGGGGCTCCCCCATAGCTCAGGAAGTTTATCTAGTAAGCATCCGAGCTATGCAGACCAGGAAAGTCCCTGGTTTAGGCCCCCAGTTTGTACTGAGTTACCTGATCTTAAAAATTTGAGAGCTACAATATATGCCTCAGCGTCTCAAGTTAGGAAGATAAAAACAGCTAGGGTGCCTGCATCTAATCATTATCTATGAACTCCTGCTGGAGGTTCACGTATATAAACCTATCTGCCTTTATTTGATTCTCCTTGATACAATACAATACAAATTTACATTGACATAGTGCCTTTCATGTCGGGAGGATGTCTCGAGGTTTGACAATTCTGGCTTAGCACCAGTACCATTACCATTACTTCCCAAGTTTCTATTTATCTCCCTTTTAAACATCTATATTGTCTTCTGGGGCAGTGCATTCCACATTTTCACACGCCCCCTGTACGATGAGATGTTTTCTGATGTCAGCGGATGGCTGATACCAGTAGAACGAACCACACTTCCAATAGCAGGAAATAACGTAGTAAAAAACCTTCAGATAAAATTGAAGACAAATGTTCAAAACAATTTAATGAGAAAGAAAGAAGTTGCATTTTTACAGTACCTTATATGTCAAAATGTCCCAAGGCACTTTACAGTAATAATTGTCAAGTGTAGTGACTTTTTAATCGGTAGTTGCTTATAAATTATTAGTTATTATTAATGCAGAGAATCAAGTTTGCAAAACATAGTGCACAATGAAGTATAGCAGATAGCTCACATCAACAAATGTGCTACATGGAGAACAAGGAAGGAGAGTAACCCCCAAGGATATTGAAAAGGCATCATATCATAGCAATGATTGGAGGTAATTTGCTATAAAGTGCGTTGGCTCAATAGGATAAATGTTGCATGTTTTGCATGTTGCTCCCAGAAAAGATGGAATGGGTGCCCTGTGTGTTTTGTCATGGAGCAAATGACAACCCTGTGTTCTGCAGTTTTTCAGGCCATTCCTTTCAAAAGTGTCTCCTATCCAGGGAACATCATGCACACAATGGGAAATGCATCATTTCAACATTTGAAGCAGGTCATAATATATGTAGTTGGTGGGCATTTTTAACTGATCAAATCCATGAAAGAACCACACATATGACCATACTGCAATTGTGTGTGTATCCTTAGCTAACAACCCCATTCCATATATTTTCTGATCAATGAATATACTGTTTTGAAAATGCACTTAATAAGATTGAATACAAAATAACTTTTTTTGCTTCCACAATATGCAATTAAAAGTGTCACATAACAATGCAATGGACAAACTAAATTCCTGAATGTATATTGACTTATTTTTTCAACAAAACTTGTGTGCTTTTTAAATTGATTTTTTTTCCTTTAACAAATAAATAATAGACCTGTGAAATTGAAACTGAAATGTTTAATATGTTATAGGATTGCATTTAACACTTTTTTCTTCTCAGATGTAATAACCAAAATAGTTTAAAATGTATTTGCAATTTTCTTTGTTGCAAATACTTTGTTTCAAACCATTTTCACATTAGTAAAATGGTAGACCCAATTTGCTAAGATTTGATAATCCTTGCGTCCTTGCAAGTTAGATTTTGAACATCCATGTTAATTTAATAAAGCTTCTTGGGTTTTTTTTGTTATGCAAAACATTCCATTTGTATCCTGGGTTATCAAGCACATATTTAAAATCAGCGACTGTTTAATTTTAAAGGACTACCATATAATAGTATTCAGACCATTTTTTATCCCTGTTTCCCTGCTTTCCTCCATTGTTTTTGCCATGGCCACATTCAAAGTCAGATGATAAGGAGTACACTTTTTTGAGGTAGGATCATAATCAGAAACACTTGAAAATTAGATGGTGAGTCATTGTTTTGAAATAATTCAAAATTGAAGTACATAAGTCACCTTGCTATATATGGTAAACTTTTTGGAGGTCTAACGACTGGTGGAAGAGGACAAATGAAGAGAGGGGAAATTTACAGGAAATCAGATGGGCGTCCATGATGCTGTTTTGTTTTCACAACGTGGCAAACGTAGCTGAGCTTAAGTACACGTTCAACTCTTAATTTTGATATTTTTAAACAAGTTAGCAGTGTGGAATTTTCCAACCAAAGTTTGCTGTTACCCAAAATAGCTTGAGTTGGGAACTTTGACTTTCCACTTACTACTTGATCCAAATTTTGATTATATCATGGCAAATTACTCAAAATGACAGAGCACTTAAGTAGAATAACCTTTAACACAAGGTTCATTTATGTATTTTTTTACACTCATTTTTTTTAGATTTTTAACAGTCATTTTATTGAAGAACATTGTAACTTTATCTTTATATTATTGAAGCCAAGTGGCACATTGATTCATTTATAATTTATGAATGATCTGTAAACCTATTCTGCCACTTTAATTATGAGTATGATTCACTTATACTTATCATGTAGTATATAGAACAAAACTCAGAAAGATCCAAGTTCACATTCAATCATTGGGGATGCATTTCATAAATGACTGTTACCAGATGCCTTGAGAAAGTGAAATAAGTAAATAGTTGAAACAAACTCTTTAATAAAATAATCTGAAGGTAATTTTTTATAGCTTATTAGTGAAGAATATTTAAACAGCAAATATTTTTCCCTGCTTCTTTCCTGAATGTTTTGAGTCATAATGGAATAGAGTTCCAGAGATCCATTTCCGATCACATGCAGACATTAGTCATCTGTGAGCCATTTGATGGGAGGATCACAGCCAAGCACAATTCTCACCTGACATTCATTAACTTTCCAGCAAGAATCATGGGATAGAGAGCATGAACTATGGGCAATTTGTACCCTTTTTTAGGAGTGGGTTGTAATATCTCCCATTGTTTGCTGCTATTCAGATCAGCTAAGCTAACTTTGCACAGACTAGGGATCAAATTTGGGACTTTCGCAGCCTGCATGTCTTAGGAGTACAGTTTACAGTAAATTTACTACGAGGGAGTCTCCCTGTTTTCCTACCACGAACTGGCTCCTCCGCCCATCCTCTCCTCCAACTGCAAGGAGATGCTGGACTTCATCGAGGCCAAAATTGAGGGGTTTCACTCAGCCTCCTCTGCCTTCCAACTGCTACCCCCTCCCCATCTTCCCCTCGCACTCCGGCCCCTACCCATCTCTCCCTCCACACCTGCGAACTTGTCTTCCCTCTGTTCTAACCACCATTATGACCCAAATGAAACCCACCACCTGCTCCTTCGAAACCATCCCTACCCTTCTTACCTCCTAGCTCCACTTCCCAACTCGCCCCTCGACTCATAGATATCATCAGTCTCTCCTTATCCATCAGCACCATTCCCACACCTTTAAAAACAGTCATCCTCCCCCCCCATCTTCAAGCAAACTTCCATGAACCCATCCCTGCTCTCCAATTACCACCTCATCTCCAACCTTCCTTTCCAAGGTCCTGGAATGATTTGTTGCTTCCCAGCTTTGCTCCTTCCTATCCTGCCACAGTCCCTTTGCCTTGCTCCCTCCCTTGCCTCCTTCAAGGTACATCTCAAGACCCTCTTCTTCAACCGGGCCTTTGGCCACCCTCCTACCCCTACCCTTTCTGTCCTCCACACTCCTGATCCCAACCTCCAGCTCAGGTCCAAATCCCTAACTGTCCAACACATTGGGACGTCCTGCTGACATGAAAGGCACTATCCAAATGTAATTTGTTGTCGTTGTTTTATATTTAAAAGTATGCTCTCACATTACACATCATTCTAGAGTCAATACGACAAGGTAAAGGCCGTCTCCAGACCTCTGATGATGCTTCTCTATACTTAGTCACTAGGAAGTATATTGAGCAACCCAGGATTACTCAAGGCTGACTTTTTTGTTACTTCAGTGGAGAGGTGCCTGGCTTTTTCTTGACTCTTTTTCCCTGAACAGCATAACTGAGATTCAAGAGCATGCGGTGGATTATAATAGTTTCTGTTGCTATTGTGTAGGCGTTCTTTTAAAATACAGTAAACTCCTGATAACTCAACCCTGGCTTAGCTTGTCACAATTACTTAAGGCATCCTGCTGTCAATCTCTCAGCTGCATTTATTTATGTATTTATACATATGCCTAACTTGCCACTTCGGATAACTCATCACTGAGCCCCTTTCCCTTGGAGTGACAAGTTATCAGGAGTTTATTGTATAGTTGTATACCTGTCATTGTTTTGAAGATAATTCAGATTTTAATAAACTTCAAAGAATTGACTGGACTTTTTTTTAATAGCAAAAGTGTGATTATTGAAGTGTTACAGAATACGAGAATACGAGTATTGTGATATAAGTACATGTTAAAATCTTTCAAAGATTATTTTATGCAAAAGAATAATATATTCTGATGAATTAGGATTCCAAAAATAAATAGCTGCCTAAAATACNTTTTTTCAATCAGGATTATTTTTAAAGATAAATACTGCAGCTCCAGCAAACATGCTCAAACATGTGCGTTTTTGTACAAGGCAAATGAACAGATTCCCATCAGAAAAATATTTCCTCCAATCATATTAAGTAAAATAAAATTGAAATTCAAAACAATAATAATCCTTACATTCGGTATAACCCCTTTCACATTGGGCAGACATCTCAAAGCGCTTCACAGGATATACTGTAGAGTGCAGTGACTGTGTATTTTGCGGGCAAACGTTAAATGCTAAAATGCTGAATTTCACAAAACAATTGTAAATACAATAATGCAAAATTATACCACTGTCAGTATATACTATCAGTGACTGAAACCAAAATACAGTTGAATTTGGTTGACTGCTGATTCGCTGCTGAATGAAATCCTCAAAAAGAACACTTGTGAAAGCATTTGCAATAGTGGGATGCAAAATGCACTGCTCATCAACAATGTATTGCTTTGGAAGTGTTTATTTACTTCGTTTAACAGTTTTTTTTTTGTTTTGTGTTTCTGTTAGGTTCACATGGGAACCCATATGTGGAATAATGCTCCAGCGAGACGGGGTCGTCGTCTGTCGGTGGAGAACCCATTGGCTTTGCTGGGTGGTGATGCTATCAAGTTCTCAGAGATGTTTCAAAAGGACTTGGCAGCTCGGGCAATGAATGTTGACCCAACATTCTGGAACCAATACGCTGCTGCTCTTACGAATGGTCTAGCTATGAAAAATAATGAGATTTCTGTTATACAGAATGGAGGCATTACCCAACTCCCTCTAAGCTTGGGGGGCAGTGGTATTCCTGCTCTAACTAATTTGACCGGTGGAATGGACAGGGTTCGCACAGGAAACATTTCGCCCATTACTGGCGTGGAAAAACCAGGCATGGAAGGAGGAGCAATCCGGCCATTTATTAAATTTATTGAAGATAATAAAGAAATTGGCATTAACTAAAATGTGCACTCTTAGACACAAGTAACAAATGGACCATTTTATCTTTGGAATCTTGTACTATATTATGTACAGTTTTTGGAGTATAACTTCAGTAGATGTTAAGATATGACTTGAACTCCAAATACTCAGCTGTTGTGTTTTCTTGCTCCTTCTTTACTCATAACCAGAATCAAGAAAGTTCTATATTCTGGCTGTAGTTTGGGTTGTCTTGCAAGATTTGCATGATACTACTTGTTTCAATAGTATGTTTTGCAGAAAATCATTTCAGAACTAAAAAAAAAGAAAAAATAATTGTACGTGCATACGTTGATAGCCCTTGATTTCTGTGACAAGGTGAACTGTTTCAATGGATTGGAAACTGGATGGAGTTAGTGCTCTTAATTTAGTTCCTTGATGGCAGTACTGTAAGTGGAATCGCGAAGAGCCATGAAACCATAAACTGACTGGAGTATGGCAGAACAAGCGTGCTGGTTGTCTTCACATGAAGTAGAAACTTGAAATTATAATTTTATCCTGCTCTTTAAAAAGATAAAGTGATTCTCGTGTCCCAGGAGATGTGTAATATAAAAAAACCTGTGCTTGTCTGTTCTATTTATAATGTCAAGGTTATGCGGGTTAGAATTGGAATCCATCCAACCCCACCTTAATTACTTTTTGACTCTCCATAAATACATGCAACTTGTTTGCATATACTTATATGATTCTCATGAAAAAAAAAGATTTATTTCTGACTTGGCATTTGTAACCATCTCATTAATTTAAATTGTACTCAAATGCACGGTGAAGTCTGGAAGTCTTTTTCTCACCTATGGAAAGAACAGTAATTGTGAGAGTTGTCATTTTTCTTTTTTCCAAATGCAAGTAATTGCCATTGTGAACTTTTTGAAAAGGTTGAAACTGTTTTAAAGAAGCTGCTATTTAGCTGTTTTATGTTATATAAGTGTTTCAGTGAAGAGAGGGTAGGATTGTGTTTGATCAATTGAATTCTTCCATTAAATAACTTTTTAAAAATATAGAACAGGACCTGATCTAAATGTATTCACTTACAGTATCATTTAAAAAAAACACACCTCTTTTGTTACTTAAGCTGTCAAAGAATTAAATGTATGCTCCAGTGTTTATTAATTTATTCTTTAAATCCTATCTATGCCCTCCCAGTAAATTCAGTCCTCTGTGTTAAACTTTTACTTTCAAAGACCCATTACAAAAAATAATGAATGGTGCCACTTTTCTATGGTTCCTGCTGCCCTCTTCTTTAATTGATTAGATGTATTTAACTGATCAACTGGTACACTTTTGTTGCTGGTCCAATCCAGTGCAGAGTTAATAGGTTATTAAATGGTATGGAGTTTGGGAACTAAGGTTCAGCCTAGCATATACTTGCTGCTATGAACCTGCATACAATTTAGAAACCTATTGGTATCACATCATGTTTTATTTTTAAGACACTAACACCTAGAATCCTATTTTTTTTAATTCATTAGAAATTGTTAATGGGACATTTAAGTTGTCCCTTAAAGTATGTGTCAAATTGAAATCTTCTTACTATTTTCTCCTATGGAAAACTATTGTCAACGGTAAGGCTCACAGGAAAGATGCACAGATCTGGCAATCCATTGCTCTCAGTAGAAGATAAAGTCAATATGTGGGATATAAAAACAAAATTCATTTGCATGCCAGTACATATGTTTGCTCCATTTTTTCAGTGGCCATAGACGGGGGCATTTTGTACACTGGAGCACTTGTTTTCCTGCCCCTGGCTCTGAAGAGTGGCTTATATTTTGCACACTTTATGGAGCTATGGCATTTGCCTTCTGGGTTGAATCAGATGCAACCTTTTGATAGGCAAGGAGTCAAAGCCCTGTGAGGTACCTTTAATCCCAATTTACATGCCACGACGTTTTACAAGGTGGATTCAGTTCTGGAGTAAAAAGTTCTGTTTTAAATCTATAAAAGTTGCCGACTCAGGATTTACTCTAGTTTGAACTCTCACTGTTACTTGATGTCATCTGACTGTGGAGCACATTTGGAGTAGGTGCCATGTAAACACAGATTGGAATGTGGTCGCAGTAATGTGATATTCATTTAATTTACAATTGTTCTTCCTGGAATTCTGAAAGTAGTTCTTACAAAGAACCACATGGCTACTGACAAGGGTTCACTATTGCAGCCTATTACTCTGCTGCTTTTCATGTGGAGCAGTGAGGTAGAAAGCTGTTAGAATTGAGCAAATGTTCAGTGGATCATGCTGACTGAGAACAGGCAAGTTCTTCCCAGAACCTAATCATGATCCAATGCCCCTGCACTGGTAATAATTTCAGTACTAAAGGTGTTGCTTAAAACAGCAGATGGGACAAAATATGAACCCACAATGAGATGAAAGCAGAATGAAGTCATCTGGAATGACTTAACTTTCCATGTAAAGGGGGCTTCTGACACTGTGGCAGTTACAAGCCTGATACTGTATTTGTGCCAGTTGATCACTAAATGATTTGTATTCTTTGAATTCTGTAATGCAGCTGGGATATGTAAAATATTGTGCACCTTATAAGACTGAGATGAGTAAAAGAGATTTGTGCAAACTTATTTTTGACTGTTTTTAACCCAGCAGACATAGGACTAAACGAGGGATTCCCTTAATCTTAATATTAACTGTAAAATGAGAAAGCCTGTGTTATGAATTTAATGAAAGTGTTAACTTTTTGTTAAGTGTCTAAAATGCTGGAAAATCCATTCAGCCTGGTTATTTGTTTCCTTAGTATGCTTTGGGTACCAAGCACAACAAACGCCCTTAAAGATAATAAGAGTGACACTGTTGGTGAACATTAGTTAATGGTGGACCACAGTAAGATGTGTGGCAATGTTTTTTAATTTACATTAAGTAAGCTAGCAAATTGGGATGGGTGGGCTTTATCAAAACTTGAACTAACAGTAACCGTTTCGTGTACAGTACTACCTCATTTTTTGCATTAAAAGCACGGTGGACGGTGGTGTAAAAAACTTCCATTTGTACGAACCTTTTTGAAGAGATATTGCAATATGATTTGGGTGAAAGACATGGGGATCACATTGGTGGAATTTGCATGGCGGTATTTTGAATGGACTAAAAGTGGGACAGTCTGTTCAATGGGGGGAAAAATGTGACTTCCCAGAGTAACATGAAGAAATTCACTTTCCTAGTTATTCTGCCATCTTCTGATAATCAACCAACATGAAGAGTCATATCTTATCTTAGAAGAATTTGTTTTGCCCCCACTAAAATAACTTGTGTTTATTGCAAGGATATTTGTTCCTACAGTGAAAACAGTGTATCAATCCTGTGTTACTTCCACCTTTTAGCACTAAGTGTGGATGATTTGGAGAACATCTCAAATAAAATGAAACAAAAAAAACTTGTAAGGTGGCTTAACATTGCTGTATTTTCAGCATTTGAATGTTTTATTTATCTGTGTCATTTTTTTGGTGTGAATTTTTGTTACCCAGATGTTAGTATTTGGTACCATGTAGTGTTCTGTCCATAAGGGTCTGTAACTTAAGACTTCTAAAGTGATGTAAATAGGGTGGTAGGTGAACCGAACCCTTTTGTATTCAGGTTTTGTTTGTTCCTCTCTACATGGTGAAGAGAGACACTATTTTTATACTGCGATACCATGTAGGGCTGGGAGACCAACCTGAACCAGTTGGGAACTGTTACCTATATCCAATATTTTTATTAAACCTTGTTGGCTTGACACATCTACTGATTGAAATGGATGTCTTAGTCTAGGTTACTATTTTGTCATATGGAATAAATAAAAAAAGCAGGATATAATTTGCTACCTAACAGTGTTTTTTGTTTCCAAACCTGTCACTTTCCAAAAGTAAAACAATTAACATGGAAGTTTGTAATTTGTGATGGTGTCATTGTAAAGAACTAATTAATGGGAGGATTTAAACCTGCAGACAATGAATATCCTTTTTGAACACATCTTGATGTAAGTCTCACTCACTAAACTTAAAATAAACAATGCTAAAGTGAATTGTTGACCTTACTGCTGGGGGTTACAGTGATAACGCGTCTATGGCTGGCTATGTTCTTAATTTACAAATTAGAATTTTATTTTGGAAATTTGGGGGGTACATAGTAAACATTTATTAAATAGTAATCAATGATCAACACACAAACAAAGTGTTTCAGTGAAAGTTCAAGCCATACCCGATTCTTTCCTCACAGATCATTTTATTTTCTAAAATTAAATGAATATTGTACGTTTTTGTTGCACATGTAATGGCTTCACGTTTAGAATTAACTTGTAATTTTTAGAAAAATGGAAAACTTCCACAGCTGCAAAAAGTGCAAAAACAGCATTTTTTAGACAATGGATTATAAAATTACAATGAAGTAAATGTGTACATTGAATAACAGTGATCTGAAAGGAAAGCACATCTACATAACTACTAGATGTGTTATTACTATACAGCCAACAAAATATTTATTTTTCAAAATATTTGAAAATCCTTTCATATTCTGGTCCATTGAGGTGAAGAACAGAAAGAAGAAATAAAGAAAGTGCCATGAGGCCAATTTGAGAAGCTACTTGAATAACTGAAAGCATTGAGGTCCCACTGAATTGTATTTCAGCCTCACCCAGCCTCACCAGTGAAGATATATATCACTGCTGGCAGTGACATAGTTTACATTTTGCCACACATTAAAAATAAATTTGGACATCTTTTGTGTGAAGGTGTTACACAACACATTCTACAATTCATGGAATTCTCAAGTAGGAGTCACAAATACAGTATAATGAAGAAAACCACTTTAATGCATACATAAGATCTTAATAATCACCCATTGAACCTAAATTAAGATATTTGGGAACGAGAAAAAAGTTCTGTTCACAACTGCATGGAGATTGTATCTGGATGAAATATTTATAGTCTAATTTCAGTCAGACTGACAAAAAAAAGTAGCAGCAGCCCCAATGTTGCAGTGGATAGAGCTGTAGATTATGGACCAAGAACTTGTTTGTTTAAATTTTGGTCAATGATGAGTTAGCTGGTCTCAGCTGGTGCTGCATGAGGAGGCTAAATTGGTTCTGGCCTTACAAAGATTAGGGAGAGGAAAGTCAGCCAGATACCTGTTCCTTGCCCCTCTTTTGTATCCACCAACACTGGTGGTGCATATGGGTGGTAGAGGGCAGGCTCGGGGGTAATGCCCTCTGCAGTTGAATGGCTGGCCAAGGTTAAACAATTGCCTTTAGTCACAGTATTACAGGGCAACGGGTGCCCACAGAGCCATGCCCAGCATGTCATTTGGAAGAAAATTAGAAAAATAATTGGATTTTTAAAAAAATGCTGCACATGAAGGATCTTTTATTTGACAGTTGCTGCACATGGGAATATTTAAAAAACTGAAAGCAGCAGGTTTCCATCATTTTATTAGTACAAGGAATGTTTTGTACAGAATTTAATTGTCATTGCTATGGATTTGGAACAATTCCTCGCACTGCAGTGACAATGTCATCTATACTATGTAGATTATTATTATATAGATGAGCAGACCCGAATTCCAAATACATACTTGTAATAATTGCTATGAAGTCCAATTTCTCAAACAAATGAAAATACATACACCCAGGATCGAAGTTTATAACCTTTATTACACGTAGGCATATCTAGAAATCCAAACTGCAATTGGCAATTTGTGTACTATTGTCATAAAATTTTAA